CAAAAGGAGTATAGACAGAAAAAAATAGTCCATGTAGGGGTTGGTAAGTGCTGGAAAAGAACAAGACAGAAAAAAACCCAACAAAATGATTAGTGAGTTACAAAGCCGACTCACCATTGACACCCTCCATCCACCAGCATTATTTACCCAGATAGGCAGTGAATTTTTGTAAACTGGAACAGTTGAAGTTATTCCGTTGAGTTTGAGTAAAGAGAATAATTGAGATTATTGCATTAAGTTTAAGTTAAGAAAAGTATAATGGACACAATAATGACCATTTAGAATTGACAAAATACAAGTCTGATAAATGGAAACAATGGGCGGGGGGGGGGAAGAAGCGGACCTACCAGTGACACCTTTCAACCTATCGGTAAGGGGAATATTTCTGCCCTCTTAGCTCATAGGCTTCAATGATGGAGTGTCATAAGGATTGATTTGAAATATTTTATGTCCCCTATCATCATAGTTCAGATCTTTAAGAAGGTGGACTGTTCTAATCCTGCTTGTCGGGACAAACATGAGCTGACAGGGATACAATATCACAGGAAAAAGATGAAAAGAAAGAGATTCTTGATAAAATACAACTTGCACGCTAAGTGTGTAACCAATACAAATTAGTCTTTAGCGTTTCTAGAGTTTTAAAACACTTGCAACAAAATAATTTCATGTAAGTGCCGAAGATTAGAGGTGTTTTAAGAGAGTAAAAAACACAAAAAAGGAGGAGAGATAAGGATGAGAGATGTTTGATAGGAAAGAAGGAGTCAACCACACCAGAGCACCCACCAACAACCCACAAAAAGACAGATTCTAGATAAAATACAATTTGCATGTAGGGAAAAGAGCATAATCAATACAAATGAGATATCACTTATCAGAATGTGAACCCAATGAGGTAGGATAGAAAGAGGAATAAATATCTAAATGAATGCATGAATGCAAATAGATGGAAGGTGGTGGGAATTACAGCCCTCAAAATAGGAGACACATAGCAAATAATACTTTATCATAACAAGACCTGTAGTTCAATCATTCACTACACGCCTGACATTTGATTTTCATGGGCAGTAAGAATTCAGACAGAAGAGTAAGACACTTGGTACACCGAACGTCACCAAAAATTTCAGTATTGACACGATCGGCAATGTTTTAGAAAAAATGTTTCACACAAATTTGTTCATCATACCTCAAGTATAAGACAAAACAAAAGCTTCTGTTCTTCAGCTTGGCAGCCTTAGGAGAATCATGAGAATTTTGGAGTTTGTATGATATGGCACTTTGAACCCTACAAAATCAGATTAAAGTCATAAAGGGGATGGGACCACAATAAAAGAGAAAGAAGGAGATAGAGATGGGGACCCTACCCGAGCACCTGTCAAAAACCTTCTGAAAATTTGTAATGCCATAAAAATAAGTAGAAAAACCAGACCAAAATAACAGCTTGTCTGAGTACATAATATCAACAATCAAGATGAAAGAGAACATGATACTGATACAGTGTAAAAAGTAAAAGAATAAAAAGGAATCGCTGATATTTCCAGGAAGTTTGAAGCTCATATATATATATTGAAAGGTACAGAGTCGTATAGTGTAGATAAATGTCATGGTTGAAAAAGGCACTTCCGGGGAAGACATTCTTTGAACAAAAAAAATAAATGCAAAGAGACGAAGAAAAAGATAGAAATAATGATAATGATAACAGTCATAATGATAATGGACTGCATTTTTTAAGAGCATTTCCAATCTGGGAAAGCTAAATGCCTTTTACAGTAGAAAGTATTAGGACAGAGGGTAAGAAAAAACTCACAATCGGGAAATGATGTAAGCATGCACCAAACTGGAAGCAAAATATAATAAGACCAAGGTGAACTGAGGAGTATGACATCATTAGTCTGGTCAAGGGTTAAATTGCGTCTCTGATGTAGTCTAACCGTACAAGTGCTGACAGATAAATATTAGAGGAGAGACAAAAAAATCGAGCTTATTATATTCAATGCTCTTCATACAGTATGATTTTTGAGTCATGGCAAAGCTTTAGCATTACTCTAAATAATGCCATCTTGTGTAAGAGTAACAGACGTTTCTTTGCCCTTAGGCGACTTAAAAAATGATGTATGAGAAATTTGGTGCTTTTACGGTTAGACTGCGACAAGGATGAGTGGCAAGTTATGAAAACCTCTCCTCGGAGGCTTCCAATGCAGCAGAAACGCTTTTCACCCCCATCCAATCATAAAAATTTTAATGAAACAAAAAGGGTTCCCAATATAGCATGCACTATACAGAACTTTCAGTTGTCACTACCAATATGGCAGTAGGTTTTAGAACCATGAAATAAAGTTTAAAACACATGGTGCACACCACTAAATATTGATGGTAAGTGACCTACTTTTAAGCATCCTGTCGCAAAACAATTTTATTGCAAAAAGATCTGCAAGATTTTGTGCAACATGAATTACGATATATTATAAAACTAAAACAACCATAAGATGTAAAAAGGGGTTCATAGAAATTATATACAATTATAGATCCTGGAGAGGAAGAAGGAGCAGCTATGGCATTGTACTGCCTGCTGTGATACCTATTCCCAAACCAAGTAACCAAGTAGCCTAAGTAGCCAAACTTGAAACCCAAATTCAAGAAGGTCTCACTGGGGATTCAAACCATGATAGATCAGCACAAAAACTCTGATAATGCACGTATTCATTCTCTTTCACTACCGCACATAAAATTGCAAGGCCACATAATACAGTCCAACCAGCTCTAATGGTCTCCTGTCCAAGACTATAACCTATGACCATTTTCAACTTTCTGCCTTGAGTTTTTTTTTCTATACTATAATAATAACACCTGACTGAAGAAGGTGGCCCGGAACAGGCAAGCGTGGCGTCGACTGCTCTCCGCCTTATGTACCTGACGGTACGGGGAGAGTATGAGTTGGTAAGTCAGTAAGTAATTTGTCATAATGACACTCTTCAAGACATCCAGCTTTCTAAGCTTAAATATAATAATGGTATAATCATACTGTCTAATACATCTAGCTTTTTAAATTATGCTACAACAATGACATAGCAACACAGTACAAGACGTCCGCCCATCTAAGACAACCAATTCTTTTCTCCTTGACCATGGGTGCTGTTGTGGGCAATTTCGACTGTTCTCAAAACTGACACAGAGACTAGGTCTTTCCAAACAGTCTTCCAGAACTGATGGTTCAACGGTCTTCCTGAATAGACGGTTAACCGCTCGTCCTGAATAGACGGTTAACCGGTCTTCCTGAATAAACGGCTAACTGGTCATCCAGAACTGATGGTTTTCCTGAATAGATGGTTAAATGCCCTCCACAGACCACTAAAAACTGCAGAGATATGTACAGGAAACCAAAATCTGCTAAATCCTCAATAACTGTTTCGTTACTTACCTCCAAAAGATCCCTTCCATTTTTATGTTAAAAATTCATAGCCTTCCACTAAATAACAATCTTTATCGGTGAAAATCCCCCCCTCTTCTCATGAAATTGAAGATGATTTTCACGTTCATTTTTTATTGTCCAAATTTTGCCCATCAAAGGAAATAATAAATTCCTCCCAGCCCGACTCGGCCCAGTGATAGAAATATGCAATGTTTGACCCATGATAAGTGATATGTGCACCATCTGTACCTTTTCATTATGGAAACTTTATTATTTAACAAATGAGTGTTTTTAACAAAAGAGTGTTTTATATGATGTGGTGTGGGCCAATGGCCTTAAACACTGAATAAACTTACTTACTGACTTCTATTTTCCAATAATACAAATCTTCTTTTACGCACTTCTATTTTCCAATAATACAAATCTTCTTTTACGCACTTCTATTTTCCAATAATACAAATCTTCTTTTACGCAAACGAACCATTCTCATCATCAAATTTATGATTTCATGTGAATAAATAATGAGTATCTTCTAAAACAATATTTCACTGTAAAATCTTTTGTTCGGATTGACTACTCTACAAGCATGCCACTACCCTAGAATTACAAAGTTCTAACGGTTCAGTGCCTATTTTTTGAGAAATTTAAAGTTTAAAAAGTTTGAGTTTCACAACATGTCAAGCTTTTTCAAATGCAATTCTTTGACTATCTTGATAACGACCTCGAATAATCTTTCAATTTTGTTGGAGCAGACAGAACATTTGTGAGGCAGCGTGGTGGAATCAGGCACTCGTCAATTTTTGGGCATGTCGAGTTATTGGTATCATCGTAAAGCTTGTGCACTTGTCTTTATTTGGATGCAAAAAATTATCCATTATCTTGAATGCAAGTCGAGATATTTGCTAAAGATGGAGGTGGGGGTCACCTGTTTTCAGAGGTAAAATTAGTGAGAAAATGGTCGCCAAAGATTAGTTATTTACTTAGTCCATGGTAACAAAAAATTTACCTATTTTGTACCTTTAATCAACGTTTTTCAGAAAAATACCCACATAAATTAGTTTTTTAATATGCAGGAAAAGTGTTGAGACAAAAAACCCAAATTTGATAAAAATTCACAAACCTGCGAATAAATGCAAGTTTCTTCACTTTGATTATTTTGACAAGAGCCTGATTCCACCACGTTGCCTCACATTTGGTTTCTGATCTCATAGTCTTACGAGCTCAAAACGACCCAAAATGTCAGATAGAACTTTGTAATTCTAAGGTAGTGATTTGTCAACACAAAACTGTGAGCGTACAATTTATAAGTAAACAGTTTTAGTGCCTCCCATAAAACTTGGGATTCTTTTTTACAACACTATTCTCCTCACATTAATGACAAAAATACAACAAACAAACAGTATGGAAAAAGTTTAAATTGTTTCATATCTTAAATCATTTAACCCAATTCACCTTGCGTTGCCGTGGCAGTACACTTGGGTCCACCTGGCTTGCCGCGAGCTGGGGGAAAAAATCGGTCTGAACCCGACACACTATCCTTAGACACACATTGTACCCAAACTATTGAAGGCATCAATTTGAAATTACGCTTAAATTTTACTTCAAATGTTCTTTTAATATTATTAGAAAGAAACATAAAGGAAAGAGCAGAGAAAACAATATATTCTTCGTCCGACCTCGACTCATCGGTACTTGATTTTGCCATAGCAACTTATAGTAAATCTATGGTCTAGATCTAGCTTTTCTTCGAAGTTTTCAAGGCACTAAAATCAATCTGATCGCCTTGTTTTCTAGATTTACGTCTACTTTCACTTTTTTTGCTGCTTATGTCTAAAACAAAACTAAAAACATGGTTCCTGTATTTTAACAAACACAAAAATAGCCGGGGCACTGTTGCTTTTTGTGGCTGTATTTTTCTTCTTCTTGTCCATGAAGATTTCAGTGCTCGCTTTCTTGCCATGATTTGCGGTGGCAAAACAACAAAACTAACTCATACTTGGCGAAAAACTTGATCAAAACAAGCTAGCAAAAGTTTTTTACAAGCTACAAGTGACCTATTATTTTCAATAGAAACCTGGATAAGTGGTTCAGACTCGATTTTGTGGACTGGTATTTTGATATGACTATTGTCGTAGCTCGGTGGACTTAAGCACTTGGCAGCTACGAATACACCGCAGATCGGGTGCAATGGGTTAAGAAAGGTAATGGGTTTTGTTTGCTGAAAATGAAACAAACTTCTTATAATCTGCAACAAAGCTCAGTCATACTGTAAAGGGGTTGGGCCAGATGTATCACCATTCATTCTCTCAAATCTTTCCCTATTTTCAATTTCAGCCCAGTTTTATTTCAGGTCATACCTTTTGCCCCGAGCACACAAATTCTCACATACATACATACATACACTCAAACACATACGAACTACTCTCACAAATACACAAACCTAAACACAAAACAAACACATTTTAACACGCACATTACAAAAACACATGTTCACATGTTTTTGCTCAGATACAGACAAATAAACATACACCCACACCCACAACTCAAGTATCCATTTCATATAATAAAAAAAATAATAACAATAATAGTAATAATGATAACAATCGTAAAAGCGTATCCATGTTCTACAGCAAACTCTACGCACTTTACAACTATTAACCCAGGTAAACCCTGTAAGAACACCCAGAAACATTCTGTCTTCTCGGGAAGTATACAGTGCAAGCTGCGGATTGCACTTGCTAAAAGATTAACAAACTGACAACATCTTTCGCTGTCTATAGCCGGATACCCATTCTCACCTCGGTGAAGAGGTGAGGAAAATTAAGTAAAGTGTCCAAGTTCCCAAGGACATAAGGTAAGGCCCCTGACGGGATTCTAACCCACGAACTTACGGTTGAGAGCCTGAGAGCCCAACCACTAACCCACCGATGTCTCCAAAATTAAATGGCCAGGTTTCACTCGAGTAGACTGCGCCAGTCGTACTCCTTGTTGGGCAGATGTGTCAGCGGAAGCACGGGGGGCTCGCACAGGTTCCACTTCCTCTGATCCACATCCTCCTGCACAGCACCCACGAAGCAGTAGGGACAGCCTCGTACGATGTTCCGGAACTCGTCGTGGTTGCGGATGGGTTTGCCTCGGAGCTGTCTCGTGCAGGCATCAGGAGTCCCGGAGTGTCCAACAAACAGGACATTTCCTCCTGTAGGTGAGACAGAGAGTTTAGTATAGATCTTCTTTTCATTGGCTTCTTTGTTGAGCCACTACATGTGTCTCGGCGCGATGGAATCAGGTGTTTGTCAATTTCTGGGCATGTGGAGTGATAGGTATTATCTTAAAGCTTGTTCATTTGTCTTGCTTTCGATGAAAAAAATACTCATCTATCTTGAACCAAAATAGAGATACTTGTGATTGAAAAAAGTGGGGGCTTCCCGGTATCCGAGGTAGAGTTGGTAGGAAAACGGCCTTCATAGTTTGGTGATATTCATTGCTTGAGAGAACATGAAAAGTGAGAAATTACATTTTTTCAGTAAATTCTACACAGAAATGTGTTTTAAATTGGCACTAAAGGTTTTGAGCTAAAAAATCAAAAATTCAATAAAAATGGTCGAGGTAATAGACAAATGCTTGTTTCTTCGATTTAATTATTTTGACGAGCGCCAGATTTCACCATGATGCCTCACATATTTCAATGATTATTATCAGAAGTTCTTTTAAAAAATGGAACAGAAAGATCTTTGTGAATGCTGTTGTATGCCTCACAGATCTTGATGCTCAGGAAACAGGACTAAGCAGGATGCTACTCCAAGGGGAACTTAACCGTGCAGATGCCATGAGCATAAATACCCAAGAGCAGGTCACTGAACGAGACAGGTTGCCGGCATTGATCTGTTAGTTTCAGTAAGACTTTAATGGCACTTAAAACACAATAAGGTCATAGAAGAGCCGAAGATTTGAGAGGTTACAAGAGAGTAACAAACACAAAAAAAGAAGGAGAGATACGGATGACATATGTTTAATAGAAAAGAGGGAGCAAACCACACCAGACCACCCACCAGCCACCCATGGCATTAATCTATGAAAGCAATTTATCCGATTGGAACACATTGGTGGTCTAATTAGTTTTACAACCTTGATCCAAGACACACAACACAAAGAAATTTTACTTAAGTATGTAGAAATTTTGCTAAATTTCTTAAGCACACGTTTACAACAAGCCTTCAATGAGAATAAAACACAAGTCTTCTTTTCCAGTGAAGCACTCGTGAAGAAAGCACTAACGATCAGATTTTTTAAATTTAAAGACAAAAAAAAAAAAAGAAAAGAAAAAAAAAAGAAGAAAATTAAACAAACACTAACCATCAGGTTTCAGTTTCCTCAAGATGTACTGGGCAAAGCTGTGAGACCTCATGTAGTAATCCTCTGTACTCTCATACACCTTGATGTTGGCAAAACGCTGGTGGGGGCTGTACTCCGGGTCAACCGGGTAGCCAAACAGGGACAACTCTTGAGGGGAGATGAAGATCGGGGCGTTCGGTTTGTACCAACCCAGCCACTCAAACAGAGTGGGCTCGATGTTAATTTTGCAGCTGGAGCCAAGACCTGTAAACAGTTGTGAACCGTTATTAAGAAGGTTATTCAGGAGGTTATTATTACGAAGGTTTAAAAAAAATCCCAACACTTCCACTCGGTTTGCTTAATGCGAGTTTCAGAGAGACAAATCAAAATGCATGGATATCACTATAGCTTTAATTCTATTTCTTTTTCTTTTCTTTTTTTCAGAGAATACACGATTTTTTGCTTTCTCCATACAATAGGAAGGCAACACTCCCTCAACCCCCCCCCCATCCCACCCTCATATGCTCTTCCTCCTCCTTCAAACCAAATAACAAAGTTCCATTTCAACTCCATCATTGTATTGCATGCTCTTGTAAGACCCTACGAGTAGGTAAACAGAAACTCTCTCCTCTCGTCCCAGTCAAACTGACTTTTAGAGACAGTCTTTGTCTTGGACAATAAAGAGCTTATTTTCCCACTAGAAAGCAGCATTACTCACCTTACAGGTACTCATGTGTCATTTTTATAGAGTATGTTAATTATTTGTATTGAATACTTCAGTTTTGGGTGCTGATTGACAAAGATTTTCCCCAATGCAGCTGGCAAGACAAACCAGACTTTTCTCCAACTTTCAACTGGTAAGATGTTTTTACTGTGCGCAACCTGCCCACAGAACCTCAAAATTCTCCTTTTTTGGGGGGAAAGACAAGTTACTCAAACCCACAAACCTCAAGGTGAGAAGTGAGAGCAACCCCCCCCCCCCCCAAAAAAAAAAAAGTAATCAATCTGCCCTTTCTACATGAACCAGGGATCATCATGATGAGTGAAAAACACATTAATTCTAAACTAACAAAATCCCTTCAACTAAAAAGGAAAGCAACCTCTCCCCCTCCCCAAACCCCTCCATACGCACACCTAAAAAAACCCAACCAGACTTAACTCATTCGCTACGCCGAGCCGTGGGGGGCGGCGCGGCTAAAGTGCCGTCAGTACGCTAAGCCGCCCCCGGCGGCTCGAGAACCAACGTTCAATTTTAGCTTGGTTTCTATTCCAATCCACATATCCATGTTAAAATGAAGGTCATAATATAAAGTTGACTTTCGGGTCAAGCGTTTCCACCGAAAATCAGAAGTTTTGATTCAGTTTTGAAACACGATTTCTAAGTTTATGCGACATTGTTTTATCGCGAAGCTCAAATCATAGCCCAGACACCAGTCTTAGTACTTTTACACAACAAAATGTATCATTATTTTGCTCACTAAAGAAGTGTAGGACTCTTCTTATAATATTGATACTACTGGACTCAAATTGCCAGTGCTCTGTAATTGAGAAATCAATATTTTTGAGTGCTAGATCTAGGCCTAGATCTAAATAGTCAAAATATTTTTTTTCTCCCCAAAATCACTACTTTTTGGTGAATATACTCAAAAAGTACCACCCAAGACATGTATAGGTTTATTCCAAATGCAATTCTGAATAATTCCATATAAGATACGAGTGTTTTTTTCTGTCTGGGATCCTTTTTTCGAAATTATAAATTTTTTTTTTTTTTCAATATCGGAGGTTATGATCCAAATGTACAAATATTATGGAATGTATGTAAATAACTGCTCATTTTTCAATATTTTCCTGTTCTATATACAGTTATGGTTATTTTGATGTATAATTTGACTAGGTGCAAACATATTTTTTAAATTTTATCTGAGATTATAAATTTTTTGTTTTCAAATTTTATCCGCAGCCAATCACAATCGTGTTGCATAATCGCCTCTTACAGGAACCAAAGTTGAAAAATAATAATATATAATAATAATAATATATAACATTTATAGAGCGCATTTCCAAAAAAAGTAGCTCAATGCGCTTTACATTGGAATACCCATTTTTCAAAAACCTTTCTTACTACTTCCTTTCTTCTCACGCAATATACATTAATGCACACACACACACACACACACACACACACACACACACACACACACACACACAGAGACTATTTTCATCCAGACATAGGAAAAGAACAAATATAATGAAAGCTAACGTTAAAAGCTTATGAAGGATAGGCCTGTAGGAACAGAAAATGTTTAAGATGTCTTTTGAAGCTATCAAGTGTTCTTATTTGTCTTAGTTTCATGGGTAATCTGTTCCACATAAATGGACCAAGATATGAGAAAGATCTCTCTCCATATGATTTGTATGATTTTACAGGTGTCACAAGTAGGGTGTTATCGTTCGATGATCTTAGGTTTCTCCCTGGTTTATATATACTGATAAGTTCTTGCAGATAAAAAGGAGCAGTTTTATTTACACATTTGAAACACATGACGCAGATTTTAAATATTATTCGTTCTTTTACAGGGAGCCAATGCAGTTCTTTTAATAATGGAGTGACATGGTCTCGTTTTTTAGATCTTGTTATCAGTCTAGCGGCATTGTTTTGAATTACTTGTAAACGATTCAAATATTTGTTGTTCAGACCTGCTAGGAGTGAGTTACAATAGTCTAATCTAGATAGGATAAGAGATGTTACCAGTGTTTTTGTGGTCTCTTCGCTTAAGTACTTTCGAACTAGGCCTATCCTTCTCAGCTGAAAATAAAGGGATTTGGACAGAGATCCTACAAACGAGCCCATTGATAAGTGGTGGTCAATATATACACCGAGATTCCTGACAACTTCTTTACTAGATGTCATATGCCCATATAAATCAAAGTTGACACTTTCCAGATCTTTATTTAATCGTGGATTTTTTATAAGAATGATGTCTGTCTTTTCTTCGTTTAGTTTCAATTTGTTTACTGTCATCCACTTTTTGATTTCATAAAAACATTGTTTAGTGATGGAAATCATGTTTGGTAGATCTTGAATGGTGCCATTAACATACATTTGGGAATCATCGGCATAAAAATGATAATTCAATCCATGATTTTGTAAAATGCTTGCTAAGGGCTGTGTATATAGTGTAAAGAGCACTGGTCCAAGAACGGACCCCTGTGGAACTCCATAATCGAGCCTGACCTGCTTTGAAAAGCTATTTTTAATTTGCACTGACTGAACTCTTTCTAGTAAATATGACTTAAACCATGAAAGCACAGTACCCGATAAGCCAAATGAGCGTTCAAGTCTTGTGAGTAGAATAGCATGGTCAATTGTGTCAAAAGCTGCGGACAGATCCAAAAGAGTTAAAAGACAGATGTTTTTGCTATCAATGGAATCCAATAAATCAGACGTTACCTTTAAAAGCGCAGTTTCGGTACTATGATGAGTTTTATAGGCAGATTGGTAAATTTCCTCAAGACCATTTTTTCTCATGTGAGACAAAACTTGACTTAAAACAATCTTCTCTAGAATTTTTGAGACAAATTGCAAATTCGAAACTGGTCGATAGTTTTTAAATTCATTTTTATCAAGCCCGGGTTTTTTCAATAAAGGTTTTACAATAGCTTGTTTGAAAGTATTAGGTACTGTGCCAGTGGCAAGTGACATATTCACTATCTGAGTAATGTGAGGTAGGACAATATCAATACATGTTTTGAATACATGAGCAGGCATTGGGTCAAGGTCGCATGTTTTTATGGTTGACCCATTAATACAATTTAAAATATCACTACTTGTAACTGGACTAAAAGAATCTAATATTTGTCCAGTAAATTCTGAAAATTCCAAATTTCCATTTGGCTCTAGGTCGAGAGAAGAGCGTATGGTATTAATTTTGTCATTGAAAAAAGTCACAAATAAACTACAAAGTTCGTCATCTGATGTTGCAGAGGGGAGAGGAGATATTGTTTCTTTTCCCAGAATAGCATTGGTAGTCTGAACGAGTTGTTTGGGTGATTTAACATCTTGTAATTCATGTAGATAGTATCTTTTCTTGTTATTTTCGATGATTGAGTTGACTTTGTCTCGGTGGTTAATAAAGATGTCTCTGTGAACTTGAAGTTTTGATTTCCTCCACCTGCGTTCTGCCTGACGTCGATGTTTCTTGGCCTCTTTGATTTCAAGTGAAAACCAAGGAGAAAAGGGTCTCGAAGAAATGTTTCTTTTTACCATTGGCGCATGTTGGTCGATTGCCGCTTTGAGAGTGTCATGAAATGTGTCTGCATCTAGGGAGGATAGACTTGTCAGTGTTTTGCTCACGTCGTCCCGAAGTGCCTGTGTGTCTATTGTTCTCGTGTTCCTTGAAAGTATGCTTCTTCTTACGTGTTTTGGTTTGGAGATGTTAATGTTAGCTATCAGAAGAGAATGGTCAGAGATAGCCTTATCTAAAACCTGATGTTTAAGAACATGTTGGTCAGCAGTGTTGGTAATTAGCAGGTCCACAATGTGACCACTACGATGTGTCGGCTCTTTGATTAGCTGCTGTAGATTATGATCATCAAGAATTGAAACAAGGCGTTTGGTGTCTGGAACAGATGGAACATCAAAGTGAAAGTTGAAATCCCCTATGATGTAAAAGGGGGAGGCAGCTTGCTCTAGTTGAAAGAGTAGATCTTGGAATTCTATGAAGAATTCTTTACTTGTAAATTTATTTTTCTTGTTAGGTGGCGGTCGATAGATACATGTCACACGGAAGATAAGTTGCTCTGATCTGATGAAAGCAGTGGCTGATTGAAATGTGCGATACGATGGACCACCGCAGATGAACTTTACTGGTAAACCTCGCCGATGAATAAAAGCAATTCCGCCACCACGTGATCCGCGTGAAAAAGATTTAAGTTCAAAGCCGGGTGGTAGAAGGTCGGCTATGATAGATTCGTCGCCTTCTGTTCGAAGCCAAGTTTCTGTGATGCACAACAAGTCGATGTTCATTTCTTCAATTACGTCTCTTACAATGTTTGTTTTGTTGCAGCACGACTGGGTGTTAATACAGCCAATTCTTAAGTTGGGACAGTTATGTTGAAATACATTACGAGTGTCTATCTGTATTAGGTTTTTCTTGTTCACAGTAGTCGTAGTTCTATTCTTAGAAACAGTGTCACGAGGAATCCCCTGACACACCATAATTTTTCTCTGTTTCCTTGTCCCACCTCTCGTACCCCTCTTGTCACTCTTTACTACCTTTGATTGACAAACACAGCTGTTTCTAACTCCTAACTGGGCCAAACTAGTAAGCACATTTGATGGTACACTCAGACTTGGATTGTTTACGTTTAACAGCTGATCTTTTGTGTACTTAGTTGTTTTCCCTGTTTGATTCAGTGCGCAAGGGTGTAACACAGGGAAAACCCGAACATGGTGGTATGATCTAGAGTTCACTACAAAACTGTAAACATGGCCAAAATAGTTCAATAGGGCCAGGGTAAGAATTACAAGTTCCATGGCTAATATTAGACTAGATCTTGTCTTTATATGTACTATTTTTACACCACTAGATGAAGCAAATCAAGGGCCCTCACATGATATTAAATTCCTAGAAAACACAATTCATAATCTTGAGAAATGGCGAAAAAATGCATAGAGCTGTTTCAGCAGCCTGCTAGGCGCTTGAACACAACTGTACTCAAATAAACAATACAGATGTATTCTACAAACCATACTGAAAATGTTGGTATATAATATGTTGATATTTATTTGAATTTATGGCCCCCAAGACCTGTGAACTGCGCACTAGTCGTCATCTCATTTCGCCCTCCCGATAAAAATTTGTCCACAAGCCGAAAATAATATGTAGCGAATGAGTTAACAAACAACCTAATACAAATGAGAACAAGTCCTTCCCCCCCCCCCCCCCCAAACTTAACAAAAACACACCCAGAAATTTTTCAGAAAGTCTGACATATTTAGTAGATCAGAGAAAGCAAAAGAATACTACTCACCCTTCAAGATCTCTGTAGCAGTTTCAACACAACGTAGGGCTGGGGAGCAGTAGACGAATGAAACTGTCTCACCAGAATCTCGAATCGCCTCCCCTGAGAGTTAAAATTGGAAGAATGAGTTCTCGATTCATTGTTTTGAAAATAATATATATATATATATATATACATATATATCGCTAGCCGAGTGATTCAACCGCCTAAGTGCCAAGAGACAAATTTTTCAGGAGAAGCAAAAAACTGTTTTATTTCTTTATGCTCGTACCTATGAATCTGAAATTCAGATATATGATACAATGTGAAGTAGTACGATGGTCCGTAATTAACTTTAAAAAAAAAAGCTTTCTCTTACATAAGTTACCTGGACATAGGTGGTTTAGACATACAAAATCTGTGTGATTCAACTGCCTAAGAGACAGTATAACGGTGTCTAGGCATTTGAATCACGTTAATCAACGCCACTTGACGAGCGCCAGTGGTAGCTTGGGCGTTCAAGTAATCAACAAAAGCAAATCATAATAGATTTGAGAGTAATTATAAAGTTAAGAGTAAACATGTCAGTTATTTGGTTGGGTTTTCTAGGGCAGGACTGTATTTGGCCTCATCGAGTTGGTAAAAAAGACCATTCATCTTAACGTTCAATCAGTAGTGGATGTTTTTGTTCAGTGTGAATCAAAGGCAACGAACGTTTATGACAACGGGGTCATCTTTGTTTCAGCCAGATCCGAATGGTCCAGAAATCGAACATCAAAAAGAGGGTGGGGTGGGGGGGGGAGGGGGGAGTATTGTCTTGCTTTCTTAAAAACGTTCAAGATTATCCATGAGCACATAGACCATACCATTTTTCAGGACCTTTCAATTACTCTGTGTGTGCTGTCCACTTCCATTTGTGTTTGTTCCTTTTAAAGGAATTTGTGTTCAACAGTTTTGCTCTATCTTGTACAAACGTTGGTGATTGA